ATGCATTTTGGTATATTATAAAATGTGTAATTTTAACGTTTCCCATCGTCTGCGGTCACGACATTAAAACAAAAAAATCATTTATTATTATTATCATTATTATTATTATTATTATTAAAACAACTCATTTATTTTGTAATTTTTAATTACGTTTTATTATTATTACCTGAAGATTATAATTACTTATGAATAAATTTAAACAATTTTTTTCTTTTTTTGTTAAAGAAAATTTTTGGCGGGAAAATTTAAAAAAAACTTTTCCTATCTCTCTCTTTCTTTCTCTCATTCGTTAGTTTTTGTTTTTTGTTGCACGCCTACGCACGCACCCGCATCGTTTTATTTTATTTTCCTTCTCTCTTTCTCTTTTTCTCTGTTTTTTTTTGAAGGGGGGGGGGCTGGGGGAAAGGAAAGGAAGGAGAAGGGGTTATAAAAAAAAAGTAAAAAACAAAGTCGGTAAATTATTTAGAGGTAATATTTTTTTACATTTATTTTTAGTCGTCGTGGTTTTAAAAAAAAAAAAAAAAAATTTTTTTTGTTTTTGTCGCGGGTAAAAAGAAAATTTTGCGGTTCCAAAGTAATCTACAACAACAACAAAGTTGATTACTTAGTTTAGGTTTTAACAAATATTGCCAACTGTATAAACTGTCTGGTTTTAAGTTAAATTTATTTTATATAAAAAAATATATATTTGTTTTAATTATTTATAAAGGTTACAAAAAAAGAGAGAGAAGGAGAGAGAGAGAGAGAGAGATAATAACGACGTGAAAAATTTATATATAAATGTTGCCGAGGTGTAAAATTTTTAAATAAATTTTTCCGTTTATTTACTCTATGATATTCTTTTAACTTTTCTAATTAAAATAAAACAAATGATATCATTGTTGTTCGAAACGTGTGAAAATTTAATATTTTATTATAAATCTAAAAAAAATTTTTTTTTTTTTTTTGAATAATAGATTTCAAAAAAAATAAGAGAAACTGGAAAAAAACTGGAGAAATTTTTTTTTTTATTATAAACTGGAGAAAAAAAAATTAAAATAAAATCGGACGAAATTTTTTTTTTTTTAATTTATTAAAAAGAAATTATTTTAAAAAAAAAAACCCGAACGTGTCTGTCACGTTTGAGAAGAGAGGAATGGAGAGATGGGGAGGGGGAGACAGGGAGAGAAAATAAAAGAAAAAAAAAAATTTTTCTTTTTTTTTTAATTTTTGAATTAGAGAGATGGTATAAATGTAAATTTTTAAAATCGAAAAAAAAAAAAAGAAAAAGTTTTTAAAAATGTTAAAAAGAGCGGAAGGAAATAAAAAAAAAAGGAAAAGGAAGAGGGGGAAGAAGGAAAAAAAGATAAAAAAAAATAAGAAGCAGAAGAAAAAAAAACGTCTGGTTGAAGTTAATTCGAATCGTTGATTTCAAAAAAACTTTTAAATAAAAAAATAAAAAAAAAAACCTGAAAACCTTTTTTTTCGGTGCGTATATAATAATAATAATAATAATAATAATAATAAAACTCGAAAGTTTTTTTTTTTTTTTTTTGTAATATTTTTCTCACTTATCAAATTAATTTTATTTCATACCCCCCATCGCCCCCACCGCCACACTTCCCCCTTCGAATTTTTTTTTCTTTTACAACAACTCGTATATCAAAAACATAATTTATGTTTTAAATAAAATAATAATAATAATAATAATAATAATAATAGTAATTTTAAGACTTTTTTTATTTTATTGTGAGGGGAAGGAAACAATAAAGGGGTGGGTGAGGGTGAAAAGGCGATGGGGAGAAGTTATAAAAATTTCTGCGGTATTTTAAAAAAAAAATTTCGAATTTTAAAACTGTGTGCACCACCGGAAGGATAATAAAAATAAAAAAAAGAAATTTTTTTTTTAAAGAAAGTAAAAAGGAAGGATAAGGATAATATTAAGGGATGAATTTTAAGGGATGAGATGGGAAAATGAAAGGGTAGAATGGAAGAAAAGTTTTTGAGAAAAAAGGAAACAAATAATGTGATGTGGATGTCAGATAATGATAAAATTTTAAATTTATTAGATTTAAATAAAAAAAATAAATAAATTTAAATAACCGGAAATGATTTTTTTTTTTTTTTTGTAAAAAATCTTCGAACTTGGAATCTGGAAGATGTTATAGAAAAGAAAAAAAAAGGAAAAAGAAAGAAGGAAAAGACTTGGAGAAAAAGTCAATGAAAGGAAGAAAAAAAAATAAAAGAAAGTGTAAGAAAAACGAACGGGGGAAGGAGGTGGAAAGGAGAGGGATGAGGGAAGGAAGGGGAGGGGAAAAGGGATACCTGGAGGGAGGGTTAAGGATTTATGAAATTTTTTTTTTTTTTTGTAAAAATTCATCATTTGTAGAAAAAAAAAAAAAATTGTTTAATCAGGAAAGGAAATCTTCCAAGTCTTTTAAATAATTGCGCTAACGAGAAATCGGCTAATAAATCAATGACAAAAGTTTTGTGTGTTAAAATTAAAATAAAAACGTGGAAGAAGAAGAAGAGAAAAAATAGATTTTCTCCAGGTTTTTTTTTCTTTTCTTTTTTATTCCAGCGGCGGATGAATATTTTTCTTTTTCTTCCAGTTTTTAATTTGAGTTGTCTCTTTTGTCATTTAAAAAAAAAAAAAAAAAGTTAAAATTAACAAAAATGAAAAATTGTTCCCATGTTTCCTTTTCTTTCTTCCTTTTTCCCTTTCCCCCCCCGCATCCTCCCCTTTAAAATTTATAATATTTTAAAATGTTTTTTTTTCGTTTCTCTCTTTATTCTTTTTTTTTCGAATGATAATAATATTTTGACGTGGAATAAGACAAAAAAAAAATTATTTAATAAGCACAAAATGAAATCTTACGTTCCGCAAATCTCATCGAATAATCGAGTCCATATTTTTTTTCCTTTTTTTCTTTTTTTCCTTCCTTTTTTTGTTCTCTAACCCACGTGTGCGTGTGCAAGTGCACGTGTATTTAAGCAAAATAACTTCCGGTTTTGATTTGTTTCAAAGTAATTCGTGAAAAAAAAATTAAAAAATATTTCAAATTTTTATTTTCCTTTTTTATTTCTTCCATTTTCCTCCTCTCTCTCTATATCTCTCTCTCTCCCACGTGTACGCGTATGTGTGCGTGTGCGTGTGCTTGTGCGTGGGTGCGCGTACGTATTTAAAAAAAATAACTTCCGGTTTTAATTTGTTTGAAAATAATTCGTGAAAAAAAAAAAAATTATTTCATATTATTTTTTATTATTTCCTACATTTTCCTCCATTTTTCCTTCCCCCTACTCTCTCTCTCTCTCTCTCTCTCTCTCTCTCTCTTTCTCTCTTTAACATTTTTTTTCTAGGAAGAAATAGTAATAATAATAATAATAAAACTATTAGAAATTAAATTTAACAACAAATTTGAACAAAGAGATTGAAAGTTTGAATTGAAAGCATTGAACAAAAGCATTTATTTACGTTAGACGTAAGTAAAATCAAAAGTTGATGATGAAAAGGATACGAAACGAATAAGAAAGGAGGGGGGAAGGGGAGGGAAAAATTCCTTTGCCACGACGATTCATTTTTATTTACATTTGTAAACAAATTTTATCAAAGGAAAAAAAAATTGCGGGAAAAAACGAGGATGGAAAGGAAAAGGAAAAATTATATTTTATTAAATTTCTTACAATTAAATTAATAAATAAATAAAATTACGTGGAAGGCGGCGCGGGGGCCGGGGAGTAAGAATAAATAAAAAAATAAATATTTATCGTTATCACGAGCGAAATTAACGACGTTTATTATCGTGACATAATAATAATAATAATGATTTTTTATCGATAATCTTTTAAACAAGAAAAAAAAAAATTTTTTTTTTTTTTCATTCCCTCCCTCTAAATAAAAGTTTTCTGTTCTTCATTACTCAATAAAAATTTATAAAGAAAGAAGAAAAAAAAAGTGGAAGAAGAAGAAGAAGAAAAAAAGAGAAGGGGAAGAAGAAAGAATGAAAAAAAAAAAAAAAGGTTATCTAGTGAATAAAAGGTTAAAAACCACTGATCTGTGCAATATAAAGTTGTAAAACTTTATTACGTATAACATCACAGACAAACTATAAAAGGTTTGGCTTTAGGGAATTCAAATCATTTTGTGCTGTAAAAAAAAAACTTTTTTTTTTTTTTTGATTTTAATTCTTTTTTTTTGCTGTTGTTGTTGTTGTTCCTGTTGTCGCATTTGTATGGAAAAAAATTTTTTCTCTTCCTTTCTACCTCTCTCTCTCTCTCTGTCTGTCTTGTCGTTAACTTAAATGAAATATTTATTTATGGAAAATTTTGTTGTAATTTTTTTTTTGAATTGATTGTTTTTTAATTTTGTACTATATGTCTTCGTTTCACTCTCTCTCTCTCTCTCTCTCTCTCTCTCTCTCTCTCTTATTCATGTTCTTTCCCTTGTTTATGAATCATTGCATGCTTATTCATTTTTTTCTCTTTTATTTTTTAATCGTACTGTCCATTTCTCTTTCTCTCTCTCACTCTTTTTCTGCTCTCATTCACTTTCTCTCTCTTGTTTATGAATCATTGTATGCCTATTCCTTTTTTCCCCTCTCTCTCTCTCTCTCTCTCTACTTTTCTTGCAGAATTTTATCGTTCTACCTCCTTCTTATCATTACCTCTCTCTCTTTTTTGCTTATTTATTATTCTATTTCTTTCTCCCTCTCTCTTTCTCTCTCTTTTGTTTATTTATTATTCTATTCTTTTCTCCTTCTCTCTCTCTCTCTCTGTCTTTCTCTTTCAAATTTTTTTTTTATTTTGCTATATCCGCACTTTTTTCCGTCTTGCTTTTTTCTTGCTTCTTCATCGTTTCCTCTCTCTCTCCCATCTTTTTTTCTTTTTTATCATTCTGTTTTTTTCTCTCTGTTCTCTTTTTCTATTTTTCTCATAATTTCATACTTTTTTCTCTCTCGCCCTTTCTTTTTCTTTCATTTATTTTTAATTATAGTATGTATTTGTTCAGTCAATTTTTTCCTCCTTCACTCTCTCTCTTTTTTTTTTATTTTATCATTCGGTCTTACTTTTTCTCTTTCTGCGTTTTTGTCTTTCTTTTTCTTCTTCTTTCTCTCTCTATTTCTTTGTTTTTCGTATTATTTTTTTCTTTTTTTTGTTTGTCTATAATTTTATCTCATATTCTCTCTTTTTTTTAACAATTTCTCTCTTTCTTTCTTTTGATTTTTCCACGTTTTTCCTTTTTATTATACATGTATTACAATAAGAAAAAAAAAAAAATTTTTTTTTGAGTCATAAAACGAAAACCGTCAAAGTTGAAAAAAAAAATATTCTATCTTGTTTTAATTTCAATGGATGAGAAAAAAAAGGAAAAAAAAATTTTTTTTTTTTTATTTTCCTTTGACATTTTCGACTTCCTTTTATTTACTTAAAATTTTTTTTCTTCCTTTTTTTCTCATTCCAATCGGTTTTTTTTTTCGTTCTGCTCTCGTTAATAGCGGGAAAATTATTTTAAATTAAAAAAAATTCAAACACGCAAATTTTTTTACGTTTGGTCGCCCCAAAAAATAAATCAATAAAAAAATGGTGAGGGAAGAGAGAGGGGGGAGGAGAGAGAACAAAAAAAAAACTAAAATTTGAACTTTCAGGTTTTCCGTTAAAAAAAAAAAAGATTTAACTTTTTGCCGATTTTTTATGAAAAAAATCCTCTTAACGTTTTTTTTAATTGCCCTCTGAACGTTTAAGGTTCGAACGCGTCGAAATAATTTTTTTTCCATTTAAAACCTAATAAAAATTCACGCGAACGTATTTTGTTGTAATTATCTACATATATACAACCCTCGCAAACTACCCTTTTTATTTTGATTCCGATTTAAAAAAAAAAAAAAACGTTTGAGTTGAAATTTTTTTAACGGTTTTTTTTTTTGGATGTTGGCAATTATTTTAATAAAGGAAAAAACGTTTATAACGTAATTGACAAAAAAATAAGAAGAATCAAAACGGATTTTTTTTTGTTTTCAGTTCCGCCAGACATATTAAATGGAGAAACGAGTCCGGATTTATCAGTTCAAGAAGGAGATAATTCAACGTTATTATGTCGAGCTACTGGACATCCTCCCCCACGTGTCACATGGAGAAGAGAAGATGGAGAACCTATTATTTTAAGAACGGGTCCGAGAAATTCAACCAAAGGTTTGTTTTTCTTTTTCTTTTCCTCTTTTTTATTATTATTAATTTTTTTTTACTGCGCGCACGCTTCCCCCACCCATACCTCCTTCTCCTTCCGGGACGACAAACCGACGCTATTTTGAAAAAAAAAAAAAGATTTTTTAAATTTAAGAAAAATTTTAAAAGGCAAATTAAACGCGCGTGTATGTGCGTAACGTTTAAAATATATTAAGGCGTAAACTCTCATCCTCTCTCTCTTTCTCGATAATGTTTATCTCTCTCTCTCTCTCTTGTGCTCCGTTATTTGTCGTTTTTCGGTTGTTTTATTCCGGTGTATTTTCACCTAAACAAAAGGTTACTATTTAGTAAGACTAATGTCATTCAAAACTCGTGCAATATCGAAACCCTTGTAACCGGTCGCAGGTGGTGCAAGGAAAAGCGAGAAAATCAATGATGTCAAACTTGAAAACAAATAAGCGAGTAGGAAGAGATGAATAGAGGAAAAGGGAGGGGGGAAGGAGGAAGGGAGAGGAAGAAGGAGGAGAAAATCTTCGAGGAAAATAAATGATTTTAATCATTTGACTAAAATAAAACTTTTCATCGAGCTCATTAAAATTTACGATCGCAGTAGTAGTAGTAGGTAGGTAGGTAGGTAAATTAGGTTTTATTAATAAATAAATAAATAAAAAATAATAATTTTTATTAATTAAAATATAAGAAAAGTATAAAATTTTATGTATATAATTAATTTTAATAAATACATAATATTTTTCCATAGAGTAATAATAAGATAAAGATGTAAAAGAAAATCAAAACGAGAAAATTTATTAAAAAAAAAAAAAAAAAAAAAAAGTTTTACGTTATTAATTACGTCATTGAACGATGACGTTTTTTTTTCATTTCAAAAAAAAAAAAAAATATTTCCCGCACGTGTAGTCATTAATTAAGATTTTCAAATTGAAAAATTTTGAAGAAGTTCAAAGGTCAATTTAAAAGAAAAACGGAAACGTAAATGAAAAATTATGAAATTTTCTTTTTTGAAACGTAAAGAACCGCCGCCATTTTTTCTGCCACCCCGCCGATTTATATTTTTGAGGTAAAAATTGAATTTTTTTTCTTTTTCCTCAATCTTCCCCCTCACCCTTCTTCCCCCCTTTATTTCCCCACCTTGTGTTTATCAGCGTGATAATATAAAATTTTTTAGTAAACTTTTTTTTTATTTTTTTGAGATTTGTTTTTATATATTTATATTTATACTTTCAAACCTTTTTTGGTTTTTTTTATATTCATCATTATCAGTAGAAAAAAAAGGTTTTAAAAAAGGATTCGATGAAATTAAAATTCAAAATTTTATTATTAAACTAATGTTAAGTTAAAAAGATTTAAAAACTTTTAAAAATTTGAATCCTTTTATAATTTTTCCACCTAATTAAAAACTCGGAGTAGAAAATTTTTACTTTTTATTTTTTTTTCGAATTCGTTTATTTCGCTTTTTTTAATTTTTTTCTCTCTCTTTCTTTTCCTATCTTTATCATTCTCATCTTCCTCTCTCTCTTTTTCTTTGCCTTCATCATTTGCATCTCTGCCTCTCTTTCTCTCTGTCTGTCTTTCCTTTCAACATCACAATTCGCACCTTCCTTTCTCTTTTTCTCTCTCCACCATCACCATTCGTACCTCTATCTCTTTTTCTCTCCTCACTATTACCATTTACACCTCTTCCTTGCTCTTTCTTCTCACCATTATTACTCGCATATTCCTTCCTTTCTCTTCCTTCTCACCAATTTGCATCTCTGTTTCTTTTTCTCTCCTTCCACTATCCATATTTCTCTATTTTTTTCTCCTCCCACTATCCACATTTCTCTCTTTTTCTCTCTTTCTTTCTTTCTTCTCCATCACCATCTATCTTTCTTTTTCTCTCTCATCGCAAATTCCCCGATTCAAATTCTCATCTTTCTCTAACCGTTTTTTTTTTTTTTTTTTTTATTAACATTAAAAAAAAAGTTAGAAAAAAAATTATTATTATTTTTATCATCATCATCATCATCCTCATCATCATTATCATCATTTTTTTTACCGTCTCGAAATGTCTACTAATTATTTTAGCACGTGAAAAAAATTTAAAAAAAAAAAAAAAAGAGAGAGAGAGATGTAAGATTCAATTTAAAATTAAACTAAGGATGATGTTATCATGGACTCTCTCATTTTTTATAATCTCACGAGAGACGATTGCCAATAGTGTGAAATCTCATCTCAAAGGAGTTGTAAAAATTTAAAAAAAAACGCGTTTTTTATCTCTCTTCATCTATCTTTCTCTCCCCCATCTCTCTCTCTCTCTTTCCTATCATCTCCTTCTCGCTTTCTCTCTTTTTTTCGTTCCTATTTTATTCTTTTTTACTTTTGTGTGAGAAAAAAATTTTTCTTTTTTTTCCGTTTTAAAAATTACCGTTTTTAGAAAAAAAAGAGATGATGAAAGAAGGAGAGAAAGAGAGAAAGAGAGAGAGAGAGAGAGAGAAAAGTAAGTAAGAAAAAAAATTTTCAGGTGAATGTTCTTTTAAATAAAAAAAAAAAATACATAATTCAAAAAAAAAAAGAAAAAAAAGAAATTTGGCTAAGAGATGTTTTATTTAATGTTTTATAACACGATATGTAAATTTCTAGAATAAATTTAAACCGATAATAATAATAATAATAATAATAATAATAATAATAATAATAATAATAATTGTTTAAAAACGACTGGAATTTTTTTTTAAATGTTACGAAAGGAAAGTAAATAAATTAACAACAAATAATCACGTGTGTGTGTTTGTTTCGATGTGGAAAAAAATTTTTTTTATCGTGTAAGCAGAATGTTAAAAAATTTTTTTTTTTTTTTTTTTTGATTAATTTGATTAAAATGGCTGCTGACAAGTTTAAGTTTAGAAAAAATTTTTATGCCTTAGAATGAATGAATGAATAAAAAAAAAAATGAAAAAAATGAAATTCAATGTTCTGGAAAAGGGTTTTCGGAAAAGAGGATATTAAAATCACTCGTGTGACTTTATATCAAAAAAATTCCCTCTCCCCCCAAAAAAAATGAAAAAAAATCCCCCCCCCCAAAAAAATGAAATAGGTTTTTAAATCAATTTTGTAAAAAAAAAAAAAAAAGAAGAAAGAGAATATTCCAGAAAGAAGAAAAAAAATATAAATTTCGGTTGGTAAAAAATTAACGCGCGAATTTTTTAAAAATATTTACAGTAGTAGTCACGTGTTATGACGTCAGAAAATTATAAAAATGGCGGACCGATACGTACATACGCGTTTGTGAAATTCGTTTATTTTATTTTAAATTAAATTATTTAGGTAATTAAAAATTTTTTAAATTTATCGCTGCGTTTTTTTTGTTTGTTGTTATCATTAAACGCCGCGTATCGTTAAAAAAAAAACCGTTAAAATTTTCCGGAAAAAAAAAAAAATTTTCTTCGCACTTTCCTTCTGAGTTTTTTAAACAACAACAATTTCAATAAAATTAAATTACCTATCCTTCTTTTTTCCTAAAAAAAAAAAAAAAAAAAGTCTTTTCAATAAAATTTGCACCTGAGGTTTGAGTAAAAAATTTATTATAACCCGGAAGGGTTTTCCTGTTAGAATTTTTCAGCAAAAGTTTGACGACCGCAAAAGCTTCACGTCCGGACCCCCAACGGTTGTTTCTGTTTTTTTTTTTAATATTAACTTATCGTATATTATTAAATATTTTCATAAAAACTTGATTCGATAAAATGAAAGAATTTAATTTTTTCTTTCTTATTCCACGTTTAATTTAATTTAATATATTGACAACGTGACCCGATAACGGATAAAATAAACAAACGAACAAACACATCATCGGGTAATTTCGGTTTTTTTATATTCGTCATCCGATAATTTATTTTTTAAAATAAATTTGTCTGTTTGTTTTTCCAGTTGATGTTTATAACGGTAACGCTTTACATTTTTGGAGAGTCGAAAGAAGACAAATGGGAGCTTATTTATGTATCGCATCCAATGATGTTCCTCCAGCTGTGAGCAAAAGAGTCATTTTCAACGTTAACTGTAAGTATTTCTCCCCTGCCCCTCCCCTCGTTGTTTGTTACCAACAAACAAACCCGAAGATTCTTAAAAAAAATAATTTTTTTTTATTAAATTTATACGTGAGGGAATTTAATACAAATTTTTTTTAAAATAAATAATTAATCGACTGACCCCCTCCCCCTCCCCCTCCCTATTTTTTTGCGCCGTTCACCTCCCCATATGACCCCCTTACCTCAAAAAAAAAACATTTTGAATGGGTTGATAACCTCATAATAAATTTTTTAAAGTTAAAAATATTACACCGAACTGAATGACCACTCCCCCCCCCGCCTCCATTTCAGTTCAGAATTTTTTTTGCGTCTGGACATCCTTATCAGTTATCATTTTAAAACTACGTAGAACAATTTAGGGGATGACGGGGTAAAAAAAAAATAAATAAATAAATTAAACAAATCGGTTTAATTAATTTATAGTTTAAAAACATATTTAATTTTCCGACCCCTGTAATTTAGGGTTGTTTTAGTGTTTTTTATTATGAAATACTATCATCAAAAGTAGAGAGAGCAAAAGGTTAAAGGGAAATTTTACAGACGTAGACACACACACACACACACATACACAGAGAGAGAGGAAACCGTTGAGATTTGTAACAGCTGATAAAGGAAAGCTTTTACTTTAAAAAAGTGAGAGAAAGAGCGAGAACATTAAATAAAATGGTAGGAGACAAACAGAAAGAGAGAGAAAGAAAGAAAGCGGGGGAGAATGGGGGTAAGGGGAGGAGGGGGTATGAAAATAATTTCAAATAATTTTATGGTTCTTTTAAAGAGGAAACCGGTCTCGGTATTAACCTTTTTAAAGTTTTAAAAGGTTTTAACATTTTACACTTACGTAGAAAATTTTTAAACAAATTTCCAAGAGAATTTATTTTTTTTTTTTTCGAAAAAAATTTAATTATAAATCAAAGACTATAATAAATTATTTTAAATTTAAACAAAAAAATAATAATAATAATAATTATAATATAATAATAATGATGATAATGACGATGAAAACCTTTTACCTTTTTTTGGATTTATTTTTTAATAAAGCTTTATTTATACCCTCCCCCCCAAAAAAAAAAATTTTCATTTATAAAGTTTTTTAAATTATAATATAAAACTATCGAAAAATCGAAAAATAATCGATTTATCGATTTTTTTTTCGAGAAGTAACGAAAGATTTTTTTTTTAATGTTTCGAAATCGAAAAAAACGCGGAAACGTGTATTATAAAAAAAAATTAAATTTTTTTATCGTCGCATCCTTTACTATTATCATCATCATCATTATTATTATTATCATTATCATCATCATCATTTTGTTTTTCCAGCTCGATAATTGGACCCACATTTTATTTTATTTTTTTTTGTTATCCAGGTACCCACGTTGTCGTATGAAAATGTTTATATATATAAATATCAAAAGAATTAAAAAACGAACAAAAAAAAAAAAAAAATTTTTTTTTTTTTTGTTTACACTCCGCCGATCCGCCGTACCGCCTTTTTTCTCCTGGAAAAAATTAATCGCCATTATTAATTTTATTTGCATTCTTTTTTTTTTTTTTAAACTGGGTATTTATATGATGTTTTAACCTTTTTACTAAATCAGAAACGGAGACAGGTAAATAAAGAAAATACACCGCCTTCTCTCATTCCCCGACGCTCCTCCCCCTTTCTTACTCCCTCCTCCTCCTCCTACTCCTCCTTGGAAATCATTTTCCTTGGAAATTTGCAACATGAACAGGAGCACGTTTCCAAAAAAAAATTAATTTATTTTAATTTTTTTTTTTTTTGTTTTTTTAATTACCTTTTTTTTTTTTAATCGATATCGTCTGCATTTATTCTCGTGCCACGACATGCAAACAATGTCTTTTTCATTATTATTATTATTTTTTTTATTTTAAAAATCGATTTTTCTCTCTCTCTCTCTCTCTCTTTCTAAAAAAAAATTTATTACATGTATATATATTTATTTAAACATAATTCCGGAGTCGATTTTGGAACTTAACTGGATTATTTGCAATTTCATTAATTGTTTTTTTTTCCTGATATTTAAACATTTTAAATAAGTTTTTTAACCCCCTCCCCCTTTGCCCCCCGCCTCCCTTCATCTCCCTCATCCAACTTCTTTCCAGTTTATTTCGATTACCTTTTTTTTTTTTTTTTTTTTTTTTTTAAATTAACACCTTTTTATTTTTTCAAGATTTTTATTATTTTATTTTATTTTTTTTTTAAAGTTCGATTTTAAATTTATTCTTAATTAACAAGAAAACAAAGAAAAAGATAAAGAAAATGAAAAAAGGAACTAATGATAATTAAAAATTCATTAATAAGAGAATGAGAGAGTGAAAGAAAGAGAGAAAGAGAGAGAAGTGAAATTTTCAAAAAAAAAAAAAAGTTAAAATCAATATATATTTTCTATAAAGTTTTTTCAGTTTTTTTCAATTTTTTTTTTTTTTTTGGAAATTTTTATTATTATTATTATTATTATTATTATTATTATTATTATTATTATTATTATTATTATTATTATTATTATTATTATTATTATTATTATTATTATTATTATTATTATTATTATTATTATTATTATTATTATTATTATTATTATTATTATTATTATTATTATTATTATTATTATTATTATTATTATTATTATTATTATTATTATTATTATTATTATTATTATTATTATTATTATTATTATTATTATTATTATTATTATTATTATTATTATTATTATTATTATTATTATTATTATTATTATTATTATTATTATTATTATTATTATTATTATTATTATTATTATTATTATTATTATTATTATTATTATTATTATTATTATTATTATTATTATTATTATTATTATTATTATTATTATTATTATTATTATTATTATTATTATTATTATTATTATTATTATTATTATTATTATTATTACTGGAATTGTTAAAAAAAATTATCGTGGAATTTTCTTTTTTTTTTTTTTTATTTCACCGAAGTTAAGTTTAAGAAAGAATATCATCAATTTTTTATTTTACAGTTGAATAACAAAATCAAAAACTAATCGAGCCTTTTTTTTCGTGTCTTTCCCCCCTCCCTCCGCCCCATTGTATCCCATCATTCGAACGGGAACAAAAAAGAAAAAAAAATTTTTTTTTTTCTTCCCGTTTTTTTTTTTTTGCTTTCGCGACAGATTTTGGAGAAATCCAAATAATAATAAAGTAAAAGTGCGTGAAAATAAAATAATTTTTTACGCGGAGTGACGTCATAATCAAAATGGCGGCGTCGACGACAACGATAGCGACGACGACGAAAAAAAAAAAATTTTTTGTTTTTAAATTTTTCGTAATTTCAAAATTTTTAATGAAAAAAACCCGTTTCGTTATTACAAACATACGTACGGGTATATTTTTCTTACGTTAAAAAAAACCCGTTTCGTTATTATAAACATACGTATTGGTATATTTTTCTTACGTTAAAAAAACCCGTTTCGTTATTATAAACATACGTACGGGTATATTTTTCTTACGTTAAAAAAAACCCGTTTCGTTATTATAAACATACGTATTGGTGTATTTTTCTTACGTTAAAAAAACCCGTTTCGTTATTATAAACATACGTACGGGTATATTTTTCTTAAGTTAAAAAAAACTCGTAAAAATTGTTTGGAAATGTCACATTTGAAAATATTTTTCAACTTTAACCTTTTTAATTGGCCATTTAACTATTAGGAAAAAAAAAAAATTTTTCATTCTGCTTTTCTTTTGACGATTTCGTTTTAAATTTAACGCAACAGCAGAAAAAAAAAGACGGTGATACGCCCTCCCCCGCCCAAAAAATCGGAGTTAAATATGAACTAAAAACGGATTTTTTTTTGCAAAAAAACGTTTATTTATTTATTTATTTTTTCACATAAATTTTTATTATTTTATTACTATTATTATTATTACTACTATTTTTACAACAAAACCTAAAAATTCATTAAAAAAAAAAAAGCAATAAAAATTTTCTTTAGGTGGCAAATAAAAAAAAAATTTTTTTTTTTTAACTGACTTTTTTATGTGAAACCATTTTTTTTTTAATAAACTATAAAAAGTAAAAAAAAAAAAAAAATTCAATGGGTTCCCTGGAGGAAAAAAAAAAAACAAAAATATCCAAAAGGCCGCTGGAAAAAAACGCGCGTAAAACGTGAAAAATTTAAACGTTTTAATTTTTCCACTTTTCCGTCCTTCCCATTTTTTACCTTTGATAAAAAAAAAAGTAGGTCCCCCCTTCCAAAAAAAAAAAAAATTAAAATTAACGTAAGGCCGTAATAATTAATTCATCATTTTACAACCGTCAAATTCCGCGTAATTTTATTTAATAATAATAATCTATTAAGGAAAAACGCGCGTTTCAATTATTTATCAATTACGTTTTAATTGTTCTTTTTTCTTTTCTTTTTTTCTTTTCCTTTTTTTTTTTTAATATTTAAATATTAGTAAGTTTCGAGTAATGGAAAATGAATAATTTAATGTAATACAAAAAAAAAGAAATGTAAAATCGTGTCATTAGATTATTTAAACTCGAAAATGATAATAATAATAATAAAATAAATTCACGTGAAATTAATAATTAAAACCGTAAACGAAAAAAAAAAAAAATTTTTTTTATTAATATTTTTATTATTATTATTATTTAAATAAATTTATTATTTATTAATAAACAAAAGAGAAAAAGGGCAATTCGGGTTAAGCCCTCTCGTCATATTTTCCCTCTCTCTCTCTCTCTCTCTGGCTTTATTTTATATATAACGATGTCTTTCTCTTTTTTCTCAAATCTCTTTTCGTCTTTTTATTAATATTTCTCTTTCTCTCTCTCTCTTTTACCTACCCCCCCCTCTTTCCGTCTGCTCTCAGTTATTACCAACCAAATTTAACCTATTTTCTACGTATGCATAATACAAAATTTTAATTTTTTAGCCCCCTCCCTCAATCCCCCAAATGTAACCCGTAATAATAATATAATTAATAATTTTCCGTCGCCATTGTATTTTCATTTCCAAAAAAAAAAAAAAAAATTAATATCATATTATTATAGTACATAGGAATTAAATTAAAAATGATTGGTAGGGGTAAAAAATGGGAGAAGCTAATGAGAGTGGGAGACAAATAAGAAAAGAATGCGTAAGAGTGGGAGAAAGAAAAAAATAAAAAGAAACCAATAAGGAGTGGGGCGGAAAAAAAGAAGCGTATTAAATTGGAGGGGAGAAAAAGGGGCGGAGCAAATATAAGTAGCGTAGGGGAAATGGTAAAATTAGGAGATTGAAACGAAATTGCGAGTGTATTATTAATAATTTTTTTATTCATTTATTAAATATGAAAAAATTTAAATTAATGATAATAATAATTATAATAATGGTTTTACATTTAACGATGTATTTAAAATTTCCGCCATGTTTTCAATTTCATTTTTGTTAAATAATTATATATTATATACGGTGACGGTTTTGAATCTTTAAGCCAAAAAAAGACTCTCACGAAATACCCGACCGGTAATTTATGAGAATTTATTAAAAAGCACGAGGGAGTAGTAAGTGTAAAACGCATTTTATTACTTAAGCTTACTTTGTTTATAGGAGTGACTTTTTTTTTTTTTTCTAGAAGAAAAAAGATTTTCTTTTCTTGTTACTCTCGCGGATGTTTTTTTTTTTAAAAAAAAATAAAAAAATTTTTTTTTTTTTATATTTTCAAATCACTCTTGTTTTTCCTTTGTAAGATTAAATGATATAAAAGGAGTGTTTTTTCAAAGGAAACACACAAACGGAATATAAAAACGAAAGGAAAATTTTTTTTTTTTTTTAATTCTTTTAACAGAAAAATTTATCGCTAAACTTTTTTTTTTTTTTTTTTTTAACAAACATCTTTTTTTTTCTTTTATGATAAATGGCAAAAACATTTTGAAAAAAAGGAAAAAAGGAAAAAAAAAAAAGAAAAAAAAAAATTTTTCTTCTTTGGTTTTTGTTCATAACCAGACGGTTATAGTAATAATTAAAACGAATTTTAATTTATTATTATTATTATTTTATAACTATTGTAATAATTAATGAATCTCTCATGTGAATTAAATTCAAAAATGTTATGAAAGTAAAAAAAAGAAAAAAAACATTTTGCGGTTTTGATAAATTGAAAGCGGTGACTATTTCCGGTTTTTTAAGTGAATGTATTTACAATTCGTTAAAAAAAATATGTGGAAAAAAATATTTTTTTCACACTTCCGCACTAATAATAATAATAATAATAATTTCCGAGAGTGAAAAACCGATTCACGGAGTTTTCACATCGAAACATATACTATGTCATCCTTTTCGAAATATTTACACTTTCTTTCTACGTTTCCGAAAAAAGGTTACGTAACCTTTTGCACCTTTTCGTGATTTTTTCGTTTTTTTTACTTATATCGTGATTTATTATCATCATTCTTTTCTTTTTTTTGTGTATGTTCCTTTCACGGTAAAATATATTTAAGATCGACTTTTGACGGTTACATCCTTAAACTTTTTACATTCACGTAAAAAAAAAAATTTTTTTTTTTTTTCATTAAAAAAAAAATAAAAAAAAACTTTTTTAATTGCGTGTCGGTTCAATTATAAAAAAAAAAAAAAATTCATTTCTCAACCTCCTACTTCTCGCTCCTCCTCCTTTTGTCCTCCTACTTTTGCTCCTCCCACCCCCCTCCAAAAAAAAAAAATTTTTTTATCCGAAAAAATTTTTTTAAAAATCCGAAATAAAAAAAAAAATTTTTTTTAAAGAATCAAATAATTAGTACTTCAATAAAACCAAGCCAACTTTTTTTTTTGGGGGAGGGCAGGAAGGAAAGGGAGAAAGTGGGGGAAAGAAGGGGAGGGGAAAGAGAAATGAAAAACGTGCGTAAATTTTTTTTTTTTTCCTTTTCATATTTTCAGTCGATTTCGAAAGAAATTTTTTTTCTTTCTTCTCATCTCTCCCTCCCTTCCTCCACGTTTTCTTTTTTTTAAAAACGTGTAATTAACGTTTATGAAAGGCGGTGGGAGGTCGTAAGTTGTGGTGATGGCGGCGGTGAGGTGAAAGGTCACGAAATAAATAAATAAAACGAGGAAAATTTTTTTTTTTTTTTTAAACCGGGATTATTTAATAATAAATTAATTAAATTAAATTTTTTTTTCTCTCTTCCCCCCCCACCCCGTTTTCGAATTTTAATTTAATTTTAATTTAATTTTTTTTTGTTACAGTTGCTCCCGTTATTAAAGTACCCAATCAATTATTGGGTGCTCCATTGGGTACAAACGTACAATTGGAATGTTACGTCGAAGCTTTTCCAAACACAATCAATTACTGGTTAAAAAATCAAGGAGAAATGCTTTTAGACGGGTAAGTTAAACATGATAAATATTAATGGCGGTCTTACCTACTACCTTTTTGATTATTTTCACAAATGGAGACGGTAGAGAGAGAGGGGGCGGGGGGCGGAGGGAAACAAAAACTACCCCCTTTAAATTTTTTTTTTTTGGTATATATATATATATATATATATTTTATTTTTTTTCCTTGAAAAGAATTTAATAGAAGAAAAAAAAAGTAAGAAAGAAAAAGTTTTTTTTTTGTTTTCTTAAGCCAAAACACAGAAAGCTCGAATTTTCTTTTTTTTTTTTACTTTTTCTTTCTTTTTTTTCTTTTTTTTTCTTAAGTGAAAATACGACTTGCTGTTATTAAAAAAATTAGAGTAAAAAACTTTTTCGGTCCCATTTATCAACCTGAAGCTTATCCAAATAAAAAAAAAAAAAGGAAAAAAGAAAAAAAGAAAAAGAAAAGTTGAGAGTAAACTTTTTATTTTACTTTTTTTTTTACTTTTTTTTTTTTGTTTGTGGAAAATTAGCAGAACCACAATTTAAAGTTTTTCTTTTTTTTTTAAAAACAATGTCTTAATTTTTATTTGGTTTTATTGAACGTCGGATTACATATAATAATAATAATAAATTTTTATTGTCACTTGTCTGATAATAACAATTCACGATTAAAAAAAAAAAAACTTTTAAAATGACGTCACATAAATAGAAAATTTTTTAAAAATTCGGGAAAGATCTGCAATATTTTTTATAAAACGAGAACGAGTTACGATTTTCTTTTTAAAAACAAAACTAAAACGACGACGACGATTACAACACCAGCAGCAAAAGAAAAAAAATCGCGTGTTTAAATAATATATATATATTTTTTTCAAATCGTGTAAACAATTTAAAACCGGGTTCCTTATTTATTTATTACTTTTTTTTCACGTTGCGAACCTTTTTTTTTCAAAAAAACAAAAAGGTCACCCCTGGCTTTTCTTGTATTTTCCCATCCCCCGCCTTTAACCCCGAATTAAAATAAAATAAAAATAATTTTAATAATAATAATAATAATAATAGTGTAGTAAATTAAACAATCAGATTATTTATTAAAACTAAACAACAAAAACAAAATGGCCGATAATTAAAATAATCGCGCGTTTATTTCCAAAAAAAAAATTACAAATGGATTTTTGAATTTCCACCATTTTCTCCAAAGTTGATTTTTTTTTTAATTATTAAATTAGTAAAATTTAACGGTTTTTTTTTCAAAAGAAAATTTAGAGGGTCCTTAAATTTTTATTTATTTATAATAAACAAATAATTTTTTTTTTGCAATAAGTTTTCGTTAAACAAATATAAAATGAAACCCAAGATTCAAGTTTGAATAATAATAAATAGTTGTATGGAATGTTCACGTGTGACGTCACAACGGATATCGCGATTTTTGTGACGTTCGAAGGCGTTTTATAGCGGAATTTTTCGATTGTGAAAAACGCGAAAAAACGTTTCGAAACGATTTAATTATGTTTTCACGTACGTCGTTAAGGATGAGGAAAATGAGGTGTTGGGTTGATATCGAAATGGAAGGAGAAAAAGGGGAGAAGTTTATGTCGTGATGATGGGTGGGGATAAAGAGGGAAAGAGAGAGAGAGCGAGGAGGGGAAACAAATAGAAAATTTGTAAGAAATTAATCAATCCATCCATCGTGTTATACACACACATTTTTTAAAGTGTATCAATAATAAGAAGTTCCCCCCCCCCGTTTTTCCGTTTTCCGTTTTTTTTTTTTTTTGTAAATTTAATTTCAACAGAATGAAAAATTGATTTTTATTTTATTTTTTTTTTAATGAAAAGAGAAGAAGAGAAGAAAGAAAGAAAGGAAAAAAAACGAGAATGAAATTCCGTACAAAGTGATTTAAAACTTTTTTTTTTTTCGAAAGATTTTCTTTTTTTTTTTTGCTTCTTTTTTCTATTTCCGTTTCTTTTTTGTCCTCATTTAAGTCAAATGAATTTTTTTTTTTTTTTTTTTATTTCGATGAAATAAAATGCAAAAGTTTCGTTTTTTTTTTTTTTGTTTAAATAAAAAGTTGTAGGAATTCTTTTTTTTTATAAAAAAAAAAAAATTTATTATTTAATTCATTCGTTTTTTTATTTGTTTGTTTGTTTGTTTTTTAATAAGTAAAAAGGAATGAAGAAACTATTATAATAAATAAATTTAAACAACATTTGTATTCTATTATTATTATTATTATTATTATTATTATTAAATTTTATTTATTTATTTTTTTGAATCGCGACAAATTTTTTTTTTTTTTTCGAACTTTTGGCGGTTTTTTTTTTTGTTAGTAATTTAAAATTTCGTTTGTTTCCTCTATGTTGATAATTTGTAATTATCTTTTTGTTTTGTGTTTGTCTTTTCCTTTTCATATGTTAAACAAACACATTATGTTTGTTCATTCGTGTAACCTTTATCGAACTGTCACCTTTCTTAGCAGCCTAGCAGGCCTAAACTCTTCTACCACGTCAAAATTCACGTGAGATGAAGAAATCGAATGGAAAAACTATTAACCGACGATTGCGTTTGTTTTTCCTTTTTTATTCGAATGTGTTTAACGTTCCTTATACGCATTATCATTATTATTATTATTATTACTACATAACACTCTGAACAAAATTTCATCATCGTAAAACAAGTTAGATGGTGATAATATAAAAAGTTTTGAGAAAATGTTTAAGGTTGTTGTCTTATTAAGGAAAAACACACACACACTGTATAGGTTAAAATAACTACCGGAAATGAATGTTTTTATATTTATATTTTCATAACAAAGGAAACTAATAATAATGATAATAATAAATGGAGGGTTATTTTCATTAACAGGTACGACACAAAGGACAAAAAGGAAAGAACTTTTCTTATATTTATTAAAAAAATACGTTTAAGTTAATAAATAGTTTAAAAGGGTAACAACATTTATAAATAAATTGTTTTAAATTCGAAAAACGGTTTTAATTGAAACACCCGGACTTCCGGTTTTTCGCTTGTTTTAAAGTATTCGAGTATTTTAAAAGTTACACACCAAAGGGTTATTATTAAAATTTTCAAGGGATGAAAAACTTTTTTTAGAAAAAAAAAAAAAAAGGGTTTGCTGAATTTAATGTACCGTTTGTGTTTGGGTTTGTTTTCCTTTTGTTGTGATTTTATTTCTTATTATTTAACACTTGTGATGGATTCTTCTTTCACGTCTCCCTTCCCCTCCCTCCCCCCGTTGTACTGATAATGACACGTTATATATCACACACACACACACACGCACACGCACACGCCAAAAACGCGAGAGAATTTTTAAAAAAAAATTTATTTCCTACGCGTTTGTTTAATTATTAACAAACTTTTAGAAAAAATTTGTTTGTTGAATGACGTCACAAATCAACCCCTGATAACGAATAAGAATTGATAAAAAATCAAAACATGTCTACCATTTTTGTATTAATTAATAAACATTCGAAAATCCGACCTTAAACCAAGCGAACCCGAATCATCTTCGACACATTTATTATTATTATTATTATTATTACTATTAATATTATTTGATTTTTATCAATTTTACGTGTGACTGATAACAATGTCGAACGTTCAATTTATAAAAAAATCAATAAATAAATTAACCGTTTGTCTTTAATTTTTTTTTTTTTTTAAATAAATCCAAATATTTTAAAAAAATTATTAATAAAAACAGAAAATTAATATTATTATTATTATTATTATTACTAAGGTTTATAATTTAAAATTATTACGCGGCGTAAAAAAAAAAAAGTTTTCGCATTAACTCGTATCATTTTTTTTTTAAATAAAATTTATTATATTGTTTTCGCGGCGATGACACACAAAACCAAAAACAACAAAAAAAAAATAATAATTTCGCTGGAGTCTCATCTATCATTTTATTATTATTATTATTATTATTATTATTATTATTATTATTATTATTATTATTATTATTATTATCATCATCTCCTTTTTTATTATCTTATCCAGGTGTGATATAATAATAATAATTTATCTCTTTTTATTTTATATTTATATTAATTAAAATTAATTTTCTTTTCTTTTCTTTTTTCGCTTTTTCGATTCAGTTTATTTCACGCCGTTTAAAAAAATTATCATTATTATTATTATTATTATTATTTTATTATTTTAAAACTCGAACGGATTCGATACGTTAATAATACATAAAAAAAAGACTTTTTTTTTTTTTAAATATATTTTCTTGTATTTACTACAAAATAAAAATACAACCCTTCAATTTTCTCTCTCTCTCGCGTTCACCCACGCACGCATAAACGCACACACGCACGCACAACAACAACAACAACAACAATCTCTTTCATTATTTTTATTTTGAAATGGAAAAAAGTCATCACATTAAACGAAAATAAAATTTACACTTTTCGTGTTTAATTACGTGTTTTATCTTGTTTCCACCGAGTTGAAAAACAGAAATTTAAATAAAGTCGGACACATAAATTTAAAACAAAGTCATTTCTGATGAATTCACAAAAAAGTAATAAAAAAAAAAAAAAAACTTTTTAGGTTTTTCCAAGACAACCAAGACGAGAAAAAACTTTTTTTTATTTCCTCTCGACATACAACAAACACACAAACAAACAAACAAACAACATATATAGAATGAATGAAGGAAGGATTTGTTTACCACGTTAATTTTTTCTGTTGTTGTTGGTAGTATTGGTGTGTGTGTTGGTGTCATCAATACATGTTTTTAAATAATGTTTACAAAACAAACAAACAATGTTTTGTTTGTTTTTAAACAATAAACAAATCGAAATTTTCTTATTCGTAATTGCCATGGAATCCGCAATTTGAAAAAAAAAAAAAAAAAAACTTAATAAAAAATTAAATTTTTTTTTTATACAACAAAGACCGCGCTGCCACGCCTGCCAACGTAAAGAAAAAAAAAGCAATAAAAATAATTTTCCCTCGAAAGGAAATTTTCTTTTGAAAAATTTCACACACTAAAAAAGA